TTCATATGATTAACCTGAGACCGATTCTACTCACATTTTTCTTTAACTGTATTATCATTCTCCAAGCTATCACAATATTCAACATCGCTTATCAAATGATCGTATGCATTATGCTTAAAATAGCTTGGTGGAACATCAGACCAACGCTTCCTTGAGTATCCTCATGTTCCATTATAAACTTGTATCGATTGTACTCATGGGCCTCTGTAAGATAGTCTTTCTGGAACGCGCCTTGTTTCATTCTCTAAGTCTTCTAACAATTTTTTATCAGCTGTTTTCATTCTATTTGTATTATGGACCAAAGCTTGTAGGTGAATGGTAGGATAGATAATGGTTCTAATGATGCCAATAAGGTGTCAAATAATGATCGATGAGAATTTCCACCAGCGGAGTCTAATAACATGAAAGAATGTTCTGAATAATGCTTCTTTAACACAGATTCGCGAGTCTTGATGTAGGCTACCCATCCATCCAGTGAGTGCACACTAAAGATATAATAAATTGATCATAAACCAGATTTCTTTTAAATTTCAATATTTCTAAGTTTGTAGTTTAATAACTCACTTTAACAATCCAAAAATGAAGGCATTAAATTTATCCAGAATGTCCGTGATGCCACTAACATTTATTGCCATAACAAGCTCACTCAAAGATTGTGTTACTGGACCTAGAATTGAATAATATATGTCTTGATATTCTTTGTAATTAAGTAGAACAATTTTTTATTTCTAAGTTCTAATTACCTAATTGTGCAGATGCCTCCACAACATGCCAAACGGTATTGCTCACATTTCCAAAAGAAGTTTCAATATTAGGTTTCAGTCCATCAGAAAACAATGCAAACAAAGCTGGACAAAATGTTAGGAGAATTAAATTTCTGCAGGCTGGTGTAAGGGAAGAATCACCCAAAACTTTCAACTCGGTTTCATTTGTAGCAGTTGAAAAATGTTGTATTATTTTTTCCACTGCATTTGTCACAGTTGACACTAACACTGGAAAATAATAATAAAATATATTTAGATATATTTATTCACAAATGTACAAATAAGTTTATTTTTGTTCATTTCTTACCAAGCTTTTTGTTGATTCCTGATAATGGTTTTTCTGATTGATTATCGGCTGGTGCATTTATGTCCTTATTACTACTCATGGCACGTCCATTCTTAGCCTGGAATTAAAATCAACATTATAATTGAATTATATTCAATATAATTTTTTTTTTTTTTTCAAATAAAATTTCAATACTTACATAAGATAAGCGATTAACAATTGCAGAAACATTTGGTGAATTGGGAGGCGTTTCAAGATGACTGCCTTTAATTTGATTCACAGTTAAATCATTCGATTTCAAATGAGCAAACGTTTTCTTGGTTAAATTATTCAGATCGTTTTCAGCATTATTAGTTTTCAGTTCCACTGAATCATCTTTGTAGCACTCATTTTTATTGTTCATTGCGAGGTATTGCAGATAATTGAGACTTTCAGCATACTTTTTCTGTCTCCTCGCATTGGTGATTATTGAGTTATTGCATTTGGATTCTTTGGTATTTTCTTGATACTGTTTCAGCAGCTGGTATGGATCATCCAATGAAATTCTTTTGGACGCCTTATCCATATTGCTGCATTCTATATTGTCCGGTATAACGTCACAAGCACTAAATCTTTTTTGAATTATTGATGGGTATTTGGTATTACTAGAAGTGCGGTTTAGGCCCCTTGGTAAAGGTGGCCTGGGAGGAGAAGCTTCTGATATATCAGGCATGTTTTCATGTATCCCTGATATATGTCTGTGATGCTCGTGCATTGCTTCGGTGCTAGAATTATCATAGTGATAAGCAAATGATGGGTTGACATTAGTGTTACAGGAAGGACTATTTTGTGAAGATGAATCTGTTAAGATAGTGGATGATCCTCTGTATCCAGATGAAGGTTGAGTAGCTGTACTAGAACTAGAAGATACATTTGTAATGTGATTTCCCGTTAAAACATTTCCATCGCAGCTCAAAGGCCTCTGTTTGTGCCTTGCAGGGGGTGATACACAAAACAATGGTTTTTCTTCAGCCTTTAGAAAATCTTCTTTTTTGTCCTTCATGTGTTCTGATAATTCCGGGATGTCAACTAAAATTTTCCGGTATTCACAAGGCAAGAGCATGGTTAGGGAATCCCAATCTCTTATATGTCCAAAGCCTGTTTTACGAAGAGCTTCAACATCATTGCAAGATAGTGGCCGACGGTGTGCAAAACTTACATTTTTGTCAGCCTGACTGAACTTTTTGTATTTCAACGGGTATAGCAGCATTTTGCTGCAATCACTGTTTGTATGCAAAAAGTTCAAGTTCGGCAACGTGTAATTTGGATAAATTACGTATATGGGTATCTGCTTATCGTTGTTTTTGAGTTTAGACAAGAACGATGGCTCAATCACTTTCATAAAATCACTTATTTGACTAGATTTATCACAATGTCTACGTAACGAATTCGCTAGAAAAGAAGTTTGTACACTACAATCTATGGCCGCCGCTGCTTGACAATGGGTCCTATTTGTAATTTTCGACAAACAGTTGATTTGGGGAATTTTGGTATTCTGCGTACCTTCTGATGAGCTGCAGCTCAACACACTAACACTGCCGTTGGAGGAAACACTGCCACTCGCATTGTACAATCTCCCAAAACGGTTTTTATGATTATTACAAACTATGTGCTCGAAACTATTGTTATTATTCACATTAAACAAGTGTTTGGATTCTTTACAATTGGTTTGAGTTAGATTATTCTCGTTGAAAATTGATTTCACCGCCGTATTCTTGCTCAAAGTTTTCAGTTCTGTATCTCCTACATTGTTGGTATTGTTTTGGATCGAGATCAATCTATTATTGGTATTTAAAATTTTAACATCTGGTGAATTCTGCCTGTAAGCATTCTCATTGGCATAGGATTCGCCGCTGTCGCCTTCTGAATTGCTCGCTCCCCAACATTCTGAAGATTGGTCCATGCAGATGCTCATGCGTTCGTTGCTGATGCTCCTCTGTTTCATAAACAATTGAACCAGATTAAAATAATGATTCGGTTTGTTCAAGACATTTTGTCCGCCTCCCGTTGTATTATTCGAACCGCCCATGTCGGAAGAAAGTGATCCAGAAGCGTTGAATAACTTTGAATCGCGAGTGTGTAGTGGCAATTTTGAATTTAACTGAAAAAATATTAAATTTACAACAAAACCATCAAATAATAATAATTTTTATTCAAAACCATTATCCTTACGAATAAGTTCCTAGCCTTGGCTATATTTCTTCGCGAACGCTTCCTCACAATGGAACTGCAACCGCCCTCAGTTAAATTTGGCATACTCCGACTTTTATGTACATTTATCATGCTATGATTATTTCCCAATGACGTATCGTCACAAGACATATTGTGATGTCTAGAAATATAATATTTATTACAGCATTTTAATAAAAAAATAATATTTTTATAAAGAAAATTACCTCAAAAGCAGCATCTCACTGGATCGCTTCTTCAGTTGACTCAGGTGGTGTAGCCCAATTCCGAACCCATTGAGGAGCATACAGAATTTGTTGTCTTGCTCACGTTCTGTTTCTTCACCGAATTTTTTTTCTAAAATAAGAAATATATTATTATTCTAATAAATAGTAAAACTTGAACTTCAGAAAATTATTGAAATTTCTTTTTGACGAGTTATCATTACATCCGACAATTGTCGTTTGCTCGAAGAGTAAGAGTAAATATTTGAATAATAATGATAATTTGAAAGATAGTCAATATTGTAAAAGCAGATAATAATCTATACACAATGACATGGAATCATTAGCATGATTAAAAAAGATGGAGAAAAACATTTTCATAAAATCAGCAGCAAATACAATTATCAGCATGCGTAGATGAAAGTAGAGTTGAGTTTTGAGTATACTATACTACTGATTGATTTGATTTTGCAGATGTATTCTCATTGAATTTTTATATTAAGACTGTATTGTTAAATAATTAAAATATTGTCAATTAGTCAATATATTAACAATTATTCGGCGAAGAAATATAGATCCAATATTAATACAAAATATAATTAATAAATTAAAATAAAATAGACAAATCTTAGAAATTTTGTTGTTATATATCAGAAAAAATTAATTCATTAATATCTCTTCAATATATGGGTAAGGTTGCTTAAGTCGTACCCCCTAAGTAAATACGCCTACAATACTTATACAGCGCAATTAAAGTAAAAGAAATTTTTTGGCAATTACTTAAAATTTATTTATTAGGCTTATGATTAACTAAACTTCATTGTTTATTGTTACAATAGGTTTTTTTCGTTCTTCAAAAACGTTCCTTGCGGCTAGTCGCCTTAGTCATACCACCTATAGCCTTAGTCATACCTACTACAAAACAACTGTATAAAATTCAGTGTGATCAGTTTTTTCTAGTTATTAGTTTCCAAAACAAACAAAAATATCAAAATAATAATCAGAATTAAAATCAAATCAAATCAAAATAATACCTGAAAGTTACGAATGTTCTCATAAAATTATTTATTTTGGGTCCCAAGAATGGGCAATGGAATTGTTCAAGAAGATGAAGCCATTACAGATTACATCCACTTGATGATTTATCTTTTGAACAAAAATTGTTGAATATTGTATTGAACCATTATTTCTCAAAAATATCATCAAACGCCCCTTAATAAATCGATACGAGTAAGAAATTTTGTGCAGAGCACCATTTACGTAACAAGGCCTTTGCAGTTACAATTTAAAACTACTGACATAACCTAAAAAAATATTATTTGAAATGTCTGAACGATTGCCAAATAAACAATATAAATAAACTTTAAGGAAAGAAGTTATCATCCAAAATAATTGTCGCACATAATGTCTAAGCATCAATTCATAATGAGTTACTGAATCAAAACGTTAACGCGTTTGGGTTCTTCTTGACGAACCAAAAAATTGCATAACAATTTTTTTTTTAATTATATTTTTAACAGCAATCAAAACCTTACGTCCTATGAGCTGTTGGGCTGAAACTTCTCCTTACTTCATATTTTTTTAGATGGTAACCCAATGGTTAATCCATCCATATTTGATGATTTTTGTTAATAAAATTAATCTAATAGGGCTGACATTTTTATGCATAACAAATAAAGATTTTCCAATATTTCCACTTACCCAATTCGGAATATTCGCTCTCCTCCGAATACATGGTCATGCTGCCTTCAAATGCGATGGTGTAGTTGTTCTTATTGGCCTGGCACGTCAATATCAGATCCTGCTCGGAAAGCATGTCCAGGGAATCGACGCTGAAGTTGACGTCCAGTATCGGTGTCTCTTTGACGGGCGAGAACAGAAGCTCCGACTTGGTGATGGACATGTTATCTCGTACCGATGCCGAAAGATCATCGCACTGAAAGTGTCACACATTCATTTGCATAAGCCGATAATAATTGAATTATAATGAATTAAATATTGAATGTTGGACGAGTAACGTAAGATTAGTGATAAGATGTACACATGGTTGCCAGCAAAGTAAAAATTGAGTATGCGGTCACTATGAATAATCGCAAGAATATTCATTAAGGCCTGCATTGTAAAACATCAGTTTTCTTCTATTTTTTTCAACTTGGAGTTTATTTTTGCGAAAAAATCCGTTTTGCTAATTATGTTTTATAGACGTTCCAAGTCATTCTGAATCGAGTTAGACCAAATTTAAAAAAAGTATGTTTGTGTGTATGTGTATGTGAACCGATTTTTGCTAATTATGTTTCCTCGACATTCAAAGTCAATCTGAATCGAATTAGAACCAAATTTGGAAAAAGTATGTTTGTGTGTATGTGTACGTGAACCGATTTTTGCTAATTATGTTCCCTCGACGTTCCAAGTCATTCTGAATCGAATTAGACCAAATTTGGAAAAAGTATGTGTGTATGTATGTGAACCGATTCTTCGTAGATGTTAAACATTTTTTTTACGATTTCGATGAAACTTCGTATAACGATAGATTTTGCAGAACGAAATAACATTCTAAAATATTATAGGCCAACGATAAGCTGTTAAATTTAGAAAAATCGAAGATTAGCATTTTGCCGAAACATCTGTACGAGTTCTATGGTGTTTCGTAGGTACTACTGATTACAGTTGATATCTACACTTATATAAAAGGCTTTTTTAAAACCTAAAACGAATGAATCGAAATTTGCTAAAAAAAATTAAATTTATATAATTACAGATATTATAAGCATGTTGGAAAAACATAATTTGGTAATGTAAGTTTTAAGTTTTAACCGAAAAGGTGGAATAAATAGAATATCATTTCTTGTCGGAAGAGTTCATGCAACTTGCCATAAGGAGAAATGCTAGTTACTAGATTTTTATTAATATTTACATATGTTCTGGATGTCTGAGAAAATGTTGTGAATTTTATATGAAAATATTCTAAATTGTATAAAAATCTAGTATATTGACCATGAATGAGATAAATTGTTTGAATGCGCTGAATGTCTGAAAATGTAGAGAGATTGCCCTAAAAATCTTGTAAATTATCCCAAATGATGTAAATTATCTCTTGCATATTGTCCAAAAAGGTTATAAATTGTCTACAAAGGTTGGAGTTTTTTGAAAATTTTGTAAATTATTTAAAAAAAGATGTAGATCATCAGAAAATGTTGTAATGTTTGAAAACATTGCAAATTTTCTGAATAGGTTGCAAAAAACCTGACCATGTTGCAAATGGTATGAAAGTATCGTAAATGAAAGGCCACAATAAATCCGAAAAAAAATCACATAGACCATGGTAACTTTTTAATATAATTTAGTTAAAAATGATCATATCAAGATCAAAATGAACTCAAGTATCAAACATTTTTTTCTTGCCAAAATTCGATATATCTAACATGGCTCAGGTAGAACTTTTCTTAGCGTCAGATACATATAACTGACATGGCGTTTAACGTGTTTTTCTTCAAAGGCAAAAATGACGAATTTTTTAATCTATATGTTTGGAATCAATAAATTATTTGTCATCAGTACATAGTTAGTAGAACATTAAAATTAAAATAAATGTGATCCATAAAAATGAAACATCGTGGGCATCTAGATTGACATCATACGTTCAAGAAAAAAAGCGATGACATAATTTTAATTGATATATATATATATATATATATATATATATATATATATATATATGTATATATATATAATATGTATATGCAGAAAAAACACGATCTATTGAGTTCTATTTTCTAAACAGTGTTATTTTTTTTCCAAGTTCACATTAGCATAATTTAATTATGTCGCAGTAATATTTGCATATGACTTGAAAATATGTAAATCGCAGCAAAAAAAGTTTATCTTCAATATTCGCATATTAATCATTGCCACTTTCTCGTCACACTGATCTTAAATTAAAAAATAACTTATGTTTGAAAAATAACTCAAAATGATTCATTTATCAATTTTTTTTATAATTAATTAAGCGCTATATGGAACGCACATTTGCATAATTTTATTATTAATCAAAGTCTTTAAAAATGTGTTATGTTTCAGAATGTTATTCATATGTTATCGAACGATTTGGAAATTTTTAATAGACTTTTTATAAGCAACCAAATTATGTAAATTAATATATTTATAAATCCTAAATGCATATAATAATGCATAGATTTCGTTACATAACTTAGGTTCTTGTAAATTAGTGCTTGATGATACTTGAAAAATATTTTTAGAAAAATTGATTAATAATATTTTGGATAAATATAAGTAGGTCGAATGATTATAAAAATCAATCAATAGTTCAACTACAGTTAGAAATTAAAATTTATTTTACGGTGTACCAAAAAAACCTATTTTTATTAACTAATAAAATTATCATTTTACAGTTTAACCATACTTTTACTTCACAGTTTCAATTATTTTTATCAATAAATTAAAATAAACTATTTCATAATACAACAATGTGCTATTCAATCATTCAATGTACATAACCAGTACTGTGAATGTTTTTTTGTCTTACAAAATGTTACCCAAGAGAAAGTGTTACCGATAGTGATTGCAAAATTTTATTCGTTTTTATAGATAAAAAATCATTACCTGTGAAATACTTCTGGCGCCTATAGAAACATCCAAGTCTATTTTATCCAGGGTTGATCCGGTAATACTGGCAAACATTTCTCCTCTTCTCTCCGGCTAGAATAAAAAAAATTGAGAATTTAATCGAAATAAAAAATAATTATTTATGGCAAGATGAATTCATAACAAAAATATACATAACTATTTTTAAATTTGAAGGTCCAATTTGCCTTTCAGTAATTATACTACATGACAACACATAACATGTATCAAATAACAACCATCGAACTATGTTCTGTAAAATTACCACTTTACTCCTAATTATAAATTTTTTCCACTTTTTTCCTAAAATTTGTGATTCTGTGAGTCTGTTTTTGCTTCATAGGCGAGGTAAGAAAACAGCCACGTGGAAAACAGATCTAACGTCGTTTTTTTTTAATTTAAAGAGGATTTTACAAAGTACAAATTTTATGAGAGCATTCTTATCAAGACTTTATTGTATATAACTTTGCTCTAGTATTTCGGAAAAATATTTGTTAGTAGACTCTGAATAAGTAAATTAACCCTTTCAACTCGGATGCCGCCGCTCCGACGGCAAAATTCATATAAATCTCGGAATTCGCGAGTGGAAAGTGTTAATATAATTTTATATCTTGTAAAATTGCTTGTTTTTTAGATCTGTGGTCCTTTTTACCCATGGACCTTAAGAATCTTCTTACATTAAGGTGCCGCGCGATTGATTTTGCTCATGGCGAAATCCGGAAATTACTTATTCCGGTAAAATTAACCGGAAATCTTTGGCTATAAGTTCAATCTACTTTTTTAGAATAAAATTTATATTAACCGCATTATTGGAAGTCTGAATTTTTTGTGCCGTAACATATTTTCTAGCTAAATTATAAACGACTTATGAAATATTAAATAATGTAGGTATATATATTAAATAGTAGATAATTTACAACAAAATACTACCTAAAGCGTTAAGAAATATTCTTTCATGAATATGTAAGAATAAGTTTTTTTTTTTAATCTTTACCTATTTTATATGGAACATCAGCAAATTTTTGGTAATACTTGGAATTTCTAAATTGAATGCCAATCCAGTGATGGATGTCCGGGTATAAAGAAAACAGAATGCTCTCAATTTTAATGTACTTTTATAAAACTATTTTGTACTCTATTAATGAAGAGACATCTTATCACTTTTTTATATGCTCCAAAGATTTAACTTTCGCCAGATAAATTATCATGTGCATCAAAAATATAATTGATCATAATGATTCTATAATAGTAAATAAATCTATCATTCAAATAAGTAAATTTCAGTTGGCAAAAACTATCTATTCTTAATTTTTCTATACTTAGTATTCAAAAAGCATTTTACATGTTTGCTAGTCAACATAAATTTTTCAACATCGAATGAGATCACATTGTTTTCGTGTCAGTGCGTGATAGCATTTGTGATGATTCTGATAAGAAAGAAAACGAGAAGTGTTTGTAAAAGTTCACATCAGACTATTTGTTTTCATTTCTGATTGAACACATTTAAATAAAATCAGTTAACGATAAAAATTATAGTAAAAAACAATTTTATATTCTGAACGTTACAAATTATAGGAAATAAATAATATTGGTTTTTACTAAGGATCAGCTTTGGCAGTAGTTGTGGAACCGGGTAAATTTCCCCAAATGGGGTAAAAATTGCATTTTTGGGGGCAATATCAACTTAGACGAAAAAAATTCTAGGGTAATGATTAAAATAGTTCCCCGATCGCTGAGCTACGGGAATAAAATAACAAACTTCAGATTCGATACCCATCTCGGACAACTTGATGTCAAGCAGCTTGTCATCGGTTTTACTTGGAAATACAGGTAGCAATATGTTTCCAAGTGAAAGTAGCCCTTACTCGGCATTACTGCACCATTAAAAAATTCATCATAAAGACAGAAATTGTGATAATAAATTCATTACATAGATATAGGAAAATCTTGTTGTCTGTATTTGATATATTTTTAATATTAAAATTTCTTTAATATTGCTGACTTATTTTTAATTTAATGCTGCAATGCTGAGAATGTGATATTTTAACTTGGAAACATATTTCTGATCCAAATTTTCAAGTAAAAATGGATATCATTGCACGAGTTGCCTTTTAAAAAAGGAATTTTGAGAAGTATCTTCATTCAAGCATATAGAGCTCTTATTTCTGATCGCAGTTAAAAAAAAATTGAGCTATTTTTTCATACTCTCAAATATACATTATTGTCCCAAATTATGTTCTTACGATTAAGATATTTATTTACATTATAAGCCCATGTTTACAATATCATGTTTCTTTACTTTCTAAATTTTGCAATCAAGTTCGTTGTTTTGACTTTGCTAAATATTTTGGCAATGAACAGAGTATGTGCATACGTAAATGTGCCCACTCAAAATACTTCAAAAGTAATAAATGAATTCAAGAATAAGATTTTAAGACATTTGCCAAAACTGTGATTTTCTGTTTCTTCTAGCTTAATAAGATTTTGCAAAAATAGATAAATATTTGAATGGTAAAATTGAAAGATCAGAAGAAATTGTGAAACTGTAGCATCTGGTAATTCTATTAAAATAAGAGAAGCTTTCAGAATTATGATAATCTTTGGCAACTTTTTGTCATTATAAACGTAATTTCCAAGTAAAAACCGATGTCACTACTGCCTGACAACAAGTTGTTCAAAGTAGGTATCAAACCCGGGACCTCTGAATCAAGTCCCGCTGCTTTTAACCGCTTACCTACAGACTAGCTCTACTTTTCCAATTGAACACAATAAATTATACGACAATATTTTTTATTATAAGAAATAAATGATCTACTACTCCTTAATATTACTCAAATTGTTTTTATTACCTCCTGTTGCATTTGCATATCCGAGCACATGGTGGGCATGTGAGTGAGCAGTGAGTGTATGTCCTCTGTGCGAAAGCTCTCCATATCAGCTTCGGCCAAATTGGCGTCCAAATTTTTGGAGATGACATCGTAGTATCCCAAACTATCGATGCCAGTATACGAATTCGCTAGAGACGACAGTACACTCACTGGATGCTGGTGATTTCCTGGTTCTCGGTACCTGGGGAAAAAAATAATGGATTAGACTGATTATTCAACCACGTTATACCATAATTAGCAAAAAAAATTTAATCCTAATTATTTATGAAGTATACACATATGATACTGTGATACTATATGTAGGCATAAATCTTAAAATGCTTGAAGACAAAATTAACGATTCAAAAAAAATTATCCAACTATGATAGATGAACAACAAATTAAAAATTAACGTAGAAAAAAACCAAAACATTTATTTTCAAAAGAAAATAAACTAACACTTTATATAAGCAATTTTCAAATGAAAGTGTAAAACTAAATTTAGGTGGTGTGTTTTTTTTTTTTGGTTTTTTAAACTTCTGCATTACAATATATATTTATTGATGTTCATAGATCTAAATAAAATAAAACGAGTACAAAACAAATTTATATTTAAACTACATTTTAATTTTTTTGTTTTTACTATTCATGCAATCAGTAATAAATTCGTCATTATAGAGTCTTTGCAATGATTTTCAGATAAGTACTCAATGTCAAAATAAGTTCAATATATTTTTGAAACTATGTGCATGATGCGTGTCTAATTTATACAAATTAGTAATGGAAAGCGTAACCTTCATCTTGAATATATAATACATACACAAATGTAAATATAAAAATTATATATATATATATATATATATATATCCATGCCCATTATATATAAAAATTAAATTTTGCAAAACCGTGCAACCATTTTTTATACAATTAAGTAGAACATTCTTGTCATTCATCAATATCTTTGAATATTTAATTCAGGCGAGATATTTATATTACTAAACATTATTATTTTTTTTATTGAGAATGGGCTTTCCAATTCTCCTATGAAATTCTGATATTTTTGAAAATTATTTCATGAATTGTCATAGAATAAGTCTACTACACTTTCAATAATTCCAAAATACTGTTGCTGAATAGATAATCAAATCTAAAGTCATTATTCGAACTTGTCTTAAATTTTGATTGACAAAAAAAATTCGAACTTGGGTGTTTCGTAGAACTAGATGTGATCTCCTTTTTAACTTAAAAATATAGATGGAAATAAGTTTCCGAGAGAAATTAGCCCTTTGCGACATTCCTGGAATTCCGATAACTGTCTTCTAAACAAGTGCACATAATGAGGGAGTATCATCACAACATTCTATAGGGCTTTTTAGTTCAGATTGCTGTGCCAAAAAATCTTTGATCGTTTATGAGAAAAAACTAACTATTACTAGACCTGCCTTTTAACTAAAATATTATTATTAAATTATTATGATTTTTTCCCTTACAATTCAGTGACAACTTTTGCTTGTACTTGTATTTGTTCTAATTGTAAGATCCCATAAACAAGCATTGTGCGCAATAACGTCCGAAGGCCGCGTTAGAATCATTTAAGGGGGGCGATACATGTAATCGCCTTAATTTTTACCATTTTTTGAGGACTTTTTAAACTGGGAAGGAATGATTGAATCTTTTTGAACTTTTTTAGGGTTATTTATTATATATTAAAATACACAAAAAAAAATTTTTTTATTTTTTTTTTTAAATGGCTGCCGTAAAAATAAATCTGCCAAGACCCTCTCGGAAAACGCCATCAATTTGCGGGCGTTCTCACTTTTCGTACGGTGATCTGAATTTAAAAAAATTAGTTTGTACGTGTTCATAAAACATATATCTTCTAGTTAAACCAAAAAAAAATTAAAAAAGTCACAAAATCGTAAATTGGCACACCTTAGAAAAAAAAAGTTCGATTTTTCACCTTTTTTTTAATGTTTTTTTTTTGGTAAAAGGGTTAATTTTTGAAAAAATTTTTGGAATGTTTGAGGTTTAACTAGAAGCTATTACTGTAAAGTAGATGTGTGCAAAATTTCATTGGAATCGGTTGAGAACTTTTTGAGTTATCCCGCCCGCAAATTTCAAAAATGTCGTTTTGAGAAAAACGCGTTTAAAGTTTTGACACAGAAACAGATAAGAGTACAATAGCACTCAAGCGTCGAGTTGAGGCGTGGCACTTAAATGAGTTTTTATTGTATAAATAATGATAATTTTGTTTTGAATATTTACAGGCATATTTTTGAGATGTTATTGTAACGATTTATGAAAGAAAAAAAAATCGATTTTTTTTTTCTTGTTACATGTATCGCCCCTCTATCATATCATACACTGTCCTCTTGTCACCATAAAGTTGATGTCAAAAGTAATTGAGAATGATACTTTATTTTTGTTCCCATTGCCAAAAAGGAATAGATGAAAAACAATGTAAACAAATAGTTACAAATAAAATATGTCTCATATGCCTATAATATTTTAAGGAGTTCGTTTTAATCAGCAACTCTATCACCATGCCAAGTTTCATCAAAATCCCAGAAGAGTAAACTTGAGGTTGTCCTTCTAAGTTACATTTCGTTAAATTTATATAGTAAATAAGTTTTTGTATTAATACTACTAAACTATTGTAGTCCTCGTGAAAAAACTAAATTAACTAGGATATGAAGATAAAAGTAATGTATGTTCAAAAATCATTGTGATAGAATTTCAATAAATATGTAGAACGTCGTGTAATGAAATATAAAAATAATATTGAAGGCTAAATGCTCTAGCAGGTTTAATCACTAATTCACTACTGCTTGATATTAAAATATCCAAGAAAGGAATAGAAACTTGTGGTATATTATAATTTGATATTTTTCAAGTTTAGAAAATTCCGAACCAATTACATCTGCACTCTCTAAGTGTAAATAATTAATTTTCTAATCCATGTGCATCGTTTTCCATTTACAAAACAGGTATTTTCATCTACTTAAAGAATGTGCTGATGCAACAAAGTAGATACATGTGTGACCTTAAATAACATTTATTATTTTTTGCTGACAATTGTAACTTGTGATTAGGTTATATTTACAAATGGTATTATGGAAGACAACCTGATTGTTGTTTTTAAATAAAGATTTTATTTATAAAAGTTATATTTTTAATTCGTTGCAACAATCAACTTTAGATAGTTAGATTTATATTTTGAAGTGAAAAAGGATATCACTACTGCTTGATATTAGGCTGTCCGAGATAACAATTGAACTTAAAACCATGTGGTTGTATGACCTAAGATCTAACTACTTTTTTCAGATATGTTTTTTAACATCATGTTAATGTTAAACACATTTGCGATAGATTTTAATTTAATTACTTAGCACTGATTTTAAGATCAACATAAGTTTCACAAAAAAATCTGTTTCAGGCAGTACTTTTTTTTAATCTAGCTTTTCTCAAGTAATAATTAAGCCCCCAATAAGACAGGGATATTTGTTTATTTTTTTGAAAATAGACAGATGTGTAACTATTTATTAATTTTTGCAACAATTGCTGGAAACTGTCATATTTGTTTAGGAATTGAAAATACACGTTTATACCATGCATTCAAAATTACGAAGCTTTAATATCAAATAAAAGTTTTGACTAAGAGAAGTTTGCTCAAGTATAAGGACTCGATTAGGTAAAGGTCTTAAATTTTTTTTTTTTTTTGATAATTTTGTTATAAAATTGAATATTGAGTAAAATTTCAGATACTTACATCATACTTAAATAACAATACACTTAAAACTACTTAGTTTATGAATTGAAAAAAAACATTAGTTTTATGAAAAAATGCAATTTTATGCATTCTTTTGTAATTCGAGGATCGTTCAAGTATCAAGTACCCGAGCAGTTGTCTATGTCTTCTTTCCTGTTAATTATGTTGTAAAATTTAATTTCTACAAATTAATAATGAATATAATAACTAAATCATTTTCTATATCCCATGGCTGCAAAAGCAAACAACAATAGAATTATTATATCGCCAAGCTCGAACAGTCACGAGATTTTGACCTCAAAAGTCGAACCGCGAAGTACAGCCTGTTGTCTGTCCGTCAAATAGTCGGTCTAATGTTTATAATCATGAGGCAGCTCTTTATATGGAGTATCTTACTGACGCAATAAATATTCTAGATGCCTTGGAGCTTATTTGTGGCTGATTCATACATAAAATTTACAGTTTTCAATATCTGACAAAGAAAATTGTTCGACGGTAAGCGTTTAGCCCTGTGATCATCTAGGTTCTTCAAATCGCGCTTTGAACAACCAAACTTTGGACAACCGCGTTTTGGAAACTTGATAGCAAGTATTAGTATTATTAATTTTACTTGAAAATATAGATTATAGTAGTTCCAAGTAATAACAGCCCTTTCTAAACTTAAAATTTATCGCCACTAACTTGTAGCAAGGCCAATCTATAATATAAACCCCAAATCTGTCTGAAGGTAATCATTGGGTTGCCTTCTAAAAAATACCGTTGAATAGTATCTTGACAAAAGCTTACAGAACCTTTAGTTCCAATTGGTGTTCACAATATAGACAATACTAGTGTACATGGCATCGTGCCTTAAGTCAAATTGCTGGAACTTCCCGTACCGAAAACTAAATTATTAAAAAAAACTTTGCAACTCTGAAAAAATTAGATTTTTGAGAAACTTTGAAATTTTTGAAAATATTTGACTTTTTTGAAAAATTTCATTTTTTTATATTTTAATTTTTTTTGTATTTTGATTTATTATAAAAAAATTGAACATATTTTTTAAGCAATAGCATAGCTGATTTGGAGTCGAAACATCGAAGCGCGTGAACGCCGCGTAGTCGTCTAACGTGTAAACATTGATACGGAAGCCATAGAAATGTACATAAAATTTGTACTTATTATTATAATCTTTATAAAATATCTGATAACACGATGTACATATGTCTAATGTTCATTTTTGACCGCCAAATGGCATTATTTTTTACTATTTTTATTGGATCTCCCGAGACGCTGGACCCCCCTGCCTTTACAAAAATTTCACCAGTTGTTCATTTCGTAAATACAAGTAAAATCTTTTTTGAATTATTTAAATCGGACGCTCCGTTATCAAAAACTGAAATACCATTTTTGGCCCTTTTTCCCCGTATCTCCGAAACGGCTAGACCTGCCTTTGCCTACTAATCAGCACGTCTCCTTATCGTAGGAATCGAATTTTTTTGAAGTATTCATATTGGTTGATCAATGTTCGCGAAATCGTCGACAAAAATTTGTATCCACACACACGCACACACACACACACATATACATCCATTTTTTTAAGGTATGCCAAAATGTTCAGAAACCTTTGAAACGTAAAAATATGTAAAAAATTTCATTTTCGATTTTTTTGCGATTACTATAACTTACACTTCGGGAAGTTAATAAGAGATATTGGTCTTTTATTCCCTTTAAAAATGATAACCCCAAAAAAATCAAATTTATTACCTTTGTGTGTTTCCTTCTTCTGCCATTATAAGTCAATTAGTAAAAAGTATTACTCAAAAACGTGAATTAATATTTAAATATCAACTCATATTTTCACATGTTACGTTGTTTGCTAATCTTTTGTTAATGATTTCAGTTCTAATAAATTGTAGCAACACAAGTTAGTTGGCTACGAGTGCCAACTAAATAAATTATTATTGCAATCATATACAACAATTTATCAAAACGATTGTTTTCATATAGTGAATCAACATTAATATCCATTTTGCGCATATTTCTGTTATTCGCTAATAATTTGTTTATAAACTCGCTTATAAGTACAAATACATTCCAATATTTATTGCAATTATATATAGCAATTAACCGACTAGAAATATGAGGTAAGGCATCGAGTATTTTATAAACATTTAATGGAAAACGCGATATAATGTTCATACTATTTTATCTGATTGTAATACCAAATATACTTGACTCATATTATGAAAATGACTCAATATTGCGCATTAAATTATTAAATTGTTAGATATGTTTTATTATAATAATAATTTCATATACGAGGTCTGTTCAAAAAGTACCCGGAATTTTCGTTTTTTCAAAAAAATATTTATTTATTCGTCTACATTAATGTGGTCCCCTTCAAAGTAGTCCCCCCCAGATATAATACACTTATGCCAGCGTTTTTTCCAATTTTCGAAGCACCCTTGATATTCACTTTTTGATATGTCCTTGAGCACTCTCAGCGATTTTCTTCAATCGAGGAAAACCGCCGTCCTTTCATGGGTCTCTTCAACTTTGGGAATAGGAAAAAGTCACACGGAGCCATATCTGGTGAATTTTGCACTTTGCAACACTTTATTTCATTTTTTACGCAAAATTTAATACAAATTCTTGACTTTTCAATTCTTCCATTGTAAAAATCGCCGAGCTCAGAAAAACACGTCGAACCTTAGCGACTACCACAGACAAAGTAAACAGTGAATATAGCTGAAAATTTCATCATACTTTAGGGGCATGTATACCAACACAATAAAAAAAAAATTTTGACAATCAGACACTCCAGACCCGCGAAATTTAATTATTAGTAATTCCGGGTACTTTTTGAACACACCTCGTATATGTATGTCTACATTATTTTAACAATTAGAACTGTTTTGTGTTCTATAAGGTGTTGCGACTTATTTCGGGTTCTATATCCATTTCAAACAGCTTGATATCAAGCACTAGTAATAATAGATTTTAATTTCTTCAATAACGCGACCGATTACGGGTTCTATATCAATTTCGAACAGCTGGATATCCAGCAGTAGTAATAACAGATTTTCATTTCTTCAATAACACGACCGATTTCAGGTTTTATATCCATTTCGAACAGCTTGATATCAAGCAGTAGTAATAACAGATTTTAATTTCTGCAAAAACGCGACTGATTTCGAATTCTATATCCATTTCGAACAGCTTCATATCAAGCAGTAGTATAACAAATTTTCATTTCTTCAATAACGTGACTGATTTCGGGTTTTATATTCATTTCGAACAGCTTGATATCAAGCAGTAGTGATAACAGATTTTCATTTTTTTAATAACGTGGTGGTACATATCTGTGATACATATCTGTAGTTGCAAGACCAAAGCCTTAACCACGGAGTCACGGATGGCTCATGTGTTTAAGTGACATTTATAGTTTTCAAATAATTTAGAATTTTATGTTTTTGTACTTATACTTCAAAACTGCGGTAGTATCTTCTTTAAATTTTTTAAATATTTTTTTATTAGTAAAAAAAACAAATAGAATTCTTTAGTAAGCAATCCAATTGCTTAATGTGTAGTCTACCTAATTTGCCTTTTCTTAATTTTCCAGTATTTTAAAAAATTGTACATTGTAATAGAATTTTGATTTAACCATATAATTTCCAAATGTCTTTAGTAATGGATCTAGCAAATTAATAAAGAAATTGTATCAAATTAATTACCATGAGTAGAAGTTACCAGCATTACTTCTACTTTAACTAAATAATATAATTGACTAGGGGGCGCCCATTAATCACGTGAGCTAGTTTTTAAGGATTTTTGGGTCCTCCTTCCACCTTGGTGATACATGGTGATAATCAAAATTACTCCCCCTCCTTCATCAAACATCACGTGTATTTTTAGTTACCTGAAAAAACTGTCAAATTTTTGATTTTTTTTGAAAATGTTTGAACATTTTTAAAAATAAATATTAAAAAATAATTACACGTGATATCTTACTATACCACTCCTCCCCCTAAAAACCTCACGTAATTAATGAACGGCCCCCCTAATAGTAAAACTAAGTTTCTACAGAATAGTCCAGTCATTTGGTCGTCTTGCCGGTACAGTACTCCGGGAATTCTGAAAATTGGTAATCTTATAGAGTTTGAGGTGCTCTTTACGAAAATCAACTTTGCCACCTCAAATTTGAACGGCAAGTTACCGCTATATTGAAAAAATGGCGTCATAAAACAGCTTTTTAAAATATCTACTTTCTGGCTCAATCTACGATAAAAGTATCTATGTACGAATTAAACTAGAGAAAATTTCCTACAATTCCTTAGAAAACCGTTTTTTTGTAAAATTGATAGTTTGAGAGTACGGCCGCCTCAAAGTCTTTGCTGCTCTCGCCGTAGTATCAAATCTCCCCATATATGACAGTACTTCGAACTTGACCACAGTCTCTCTAATAATTAATATTTTCAATGTTAAATTGAGCGAATAAGATCTTAAGCGATCTAATTCAAATATTTTTCGTTTTTTTTTTGCTAATTTTTTAACACTTCAATGGCAAAGTAGCTGTAAATATACTTATAGCTTGAGTAGCACCTTACAGCTTCAAGTAGCTTGAAGCGTTAAAAAAATCAGCAAAAAAACAGAAAAATATTTGAATTATTTTATTTTTAGATCTTATTCGCTCAATTTAACATTGAAAATATTAATTATTAGAGAGAATGTGGTCAAGTTCGAAGTGCTGTCATACATGAACAGAATTGATACTACGGCGAGAGCAGCAAAGACTTTGAGGCGGCCGTACTCTCAAACTATCAATTTTACAAAAAAACGGTTTTCTAAGGAATTGTAGTAAATTTTCTCTAGTTTAATTCGTACATAGATACTTTTATCGTAGATTGAGCCAGAAAGTAGATATTTTAAAAAAGCTGTTTTATGACGCCATTTTTTCAATATAGCGGTAACTTGCCGTTCAAATTTGAGGTGGCAAAGTTGATTTTCGTAAATAGCACCTCAAAATCTATAAGATTACCAATTTTCAGAATTCCCGGAGTACTGTACCGGCAACAGCCTTTTTTTGCACCAAATGACTGGACTAGAAGAAATAACGAATAAATGTGAAATTACATTTTTATACGTAGCAGACACCACATACGCAATGGGTGTTTTTTGAAGTCTTTTCTTTGGAAACTTAAGAGACTAAAAGTTTTGGGTTAATTGATTAGGATGAGACATCTGTTTTCTTTGTGTCTGGTTGCAAACCGTATTATTAATTCTCGTATAGAGCAGCCATATTGGTGTTCTGATGTAGAAACCAGTTTTAAAAATAATTATAGTACTTGCGCCTTTTTTGGTAATATTTAGAATGTCTAAATCTCTAATGCCAATCCAGTGATTGCACCGTCCGGGGTAAGATGGTAAAAACATATGTTTCAATTACAATTTTTCGCTTACCCGTAGTCCAAAAACCACTGGTAATCCGAGTTGTCGTGGGTGAAGTCCTGGGAAGACGTGATGCTCCCATAAGTACTGCCCGTGGTGAAGCATGGTACATGGCTAAGTTTGTGGTTACTGTTACAGTCGGAATCCGGACTCTCCTGCTGATGTTTACGTTCGTGCATCCTCTGTGCAAAATACCTGAAAAAGATAATGGTCTCATTAGTAAACTAATATTTCGTTTTGGATAATAATTAGAACTTAAGAATCCTAGGAGCGAGGTTGGGCAAAAAAAAACAGCCGAATTCAAAGCGCGCAGCAAACGCACACAGCGTTATAGACCTTTTTTAACACGTTGACTGCGGTATGGGTAGGAACTAGTTGTTTCTACTATGCTGATAATTTGGGGATGGATTTAAAGTGATACTATCGACAGCCGCACCAGGAAGGAATGAAAGGATGTCGACAACCGCAGTCAACGTGTTAATAAAGACATATTTGGATTTCTTTTAATTTTCTTTTTTTTTTGATAAATCACCTGGCAGAAAAATTGTATGTAGACCTATGTTATGTACATACGGCCATACATAATTTTTAACATCTCCTAACATCGTCAAAAGTATTTAGAAATCAATATGAAGAAACATTTTTTATTTAGTCTCCCATTTAGAAATATTACTATTCAAGACATTCGTGTCCATTAGAGATCTGTGCAATATGAGTAAAAAAATCTGAAGGGTGAAACATAAAATAAATAGGAAAATATTTTCGAAAATCTTCATTTTTTGCAACATAAATTTTCTTAATAAATTTGCAACATAATATTGATTTTGCAATCAATATCAGATATAAATTCACTTGATCCATGTTAACTTTATTAGCTAATTTGGTTAGAAAGTTATCAAGGAAACTCAATATATCAAAGGCAAATTTTTTTGCCTGGAAAAACACTTTGTCACACATATATGATTGACTGACATAGCTCTTTAAAAAAAATTTCCCGATAAGAAAAACTTTTCAGGTCAATTTGTCAGACACACATGTCTGACATGGCTCATGTAGAACCTCGTGATTGACATGGCGATTAACGTGTTAATGTGCATTATTTGTGGATCTGTTACTCTTTATTAAATTACCTTTGAATATGATATAAGATTGTATGTCGAAACGTTTGGAAAAATAACGATTCTCTAATATATTTTTTATTTTATTTGATATCCTGAACATTTTATGCACTTATGTTAACATCAGATTTATATTAAAAAATATGATAAAGAGCTTTTGCTATTTTCTAACATCGACATATGTATATTAGGGTGGTCCTTAATATGGACATTTTCGAATTTCCTTGCTCTCAAGAGATCAAATGGTTCCAAATTGATAAAAAAACAATTCTCTGAAAGTTTTAGCTCTTAATATTAATTTTTAGATAGTGCGCAATTCAATCAAACTTCGTATGGAAATAGCATGGAATTTTTTTTTTGAAAATTAATAAAAAAAAATTGTTTAGGTTACTTAGCGACAAATGATTTAAAAGTGAAAATTTTCGTGTCATTTTTTATTGAAAATTCGACGCTCTGAAAATTTTTTGAAAATTTTCTCATGCTATTTCCATACAAAACTTTGATTGAATTGCGCTCTATCTAAAAGACAATATTAAGAGCTAAAACTTTCAGAGAATTGTTTTGTATTAATTTGGAACCATTTGAGCTCTTAAGAGCAAGGAAATTCGAAAATGTCCATATTAAGGACCACCCTAATGTATATTATGCAAAAAGTAACCAAATTAAAATATGCAATTAATAAAAAAAATCTCTAATTTTTTTTCTTCAATTCAGACTCGGTATAATAACTTGTAGACAATGCGACTCTACATACGTCGTAAAACAAGTAATAAAATTTTACAACTAGAAACAACTCTAAAAAATGTTACATTTCTATCTATATATACAATTCTTTTCTCTAAATATATAAATTTTGACATTTTTGTGACACATCGTGATCTAATTTTAACTGTCGTTATACGTGAAAGAATGTGAAACTGTAAAAAAAGTGTTCATTTATAGTTTTTATATAAAAATCTACTCTAAATCTACTCAACGTCTAAATATTCATAACCAATTAAAAATAAATTGTTAATATTAACATCAATAAATATATTATATAATAGGTAATATAATGTACAAATCATATTAATATTAAAAAAAATTAAACTTGTATTAAAAAAAATTGTCAGCTCAAATTAAGTCTAAAACAAACACTTACAAAACGAGCTTTTTTTCTATTTGTATTTCATTTCCTCATAATTTAAATATGCAAATTATATTCATTTATGATTACAAATAATTGAATAATCGCACTTAAAAACTTTAATGATTCATAACGATTCAATTCAAAAAACAAGCTCTACACGTTTTTGTTTTGACACCATTTGTTGTTACAAACAAAAATGTATTGTCTCCATATTTTATGTTAACTTATGACTAATGTATTTATTTTACATAATGTTTAGTCGAGCAATTGTTTCAGTATTTTTATTTACATGTACGAGGTGTGTTCAAAAAGTACCCGGAATTACTAATAATTAAATTTCGCGGGTCTGGAGTGTCTGATTGTCAAATTTTTTTTTTATTGTGTTGGTATACATGCCCCTAAAGTATGATGAAATTTTCAGCTATATTCACTGTTTACTTTGTCTGTGGTAGTCGCTAAGGTTCGACGTGTTTTTCTGAGCTCGGCGATTTTTACAATGGAAGAATTGAAAAGTCAAAGAATTTGTATTAAATTTTGCGTAAAAAATGAAATAAAGTGTTGCAAAGTGCAAAAATTCACCAGATATGGCTCCGTGTGACTTTTTCCTATTCCCAAAGTTGAAGAGACCCATGAAAGGACGGCGGTTTTCCTCGATTGAAGAAAATCGCTGAGAGTGCTCAAGGACATATCAAAAAGTGAATATCAAGGGTGCTTCGAAAATTGGAAAAAACGCTGGCATAAGTGTATTATATCTGGGGGGGACTACTTTGAAGGGGACCACATTAATGTAGATGAATAAATAAATATTTTTTTGAAAAAACGAAAATTCCGGGTACTTTTTGAACAGACCTCGTATAATACCCAAGAAAAATGTGCGAGTTTATATTTTTTCTGGTCATTGTGGTTTCGTGGTTAGAGTTATGGACTTCAAACAAGTTCAAATTATAATTTCCAGACTATTTATATTTATTTCTATTATAATGGCACCTTTTTATTATTATTGAACCTAGGGCGTAGACGAGACTCATAATGCATTTCTTGCAATTGCGACATGACTTGTGAAAGTTTTGTGCAAGGTAATTGAAAGAAGAAATTTTGCATTTGCTCATTTCATATTCATTTCTAGAAACACTTTGGGACCTACGGGGTTATAATAAAGCATACAAAACACAATATTTGAATTCAAAATTATAGTAGTGTCATCCATCACAAACTTAGGAGGTTATTGTATTTTAGTGTGCTGGTAAGAACTAAAAATATAATAGTTGTGTAGTAGACGCTACTGAGCACAATCCTAAAAAGAAAAGTGTCTCGAGGGTAAAATAGGAGAATCATGGAAGCAAAAAGTTAAAGTTAGGAAAGGAAAATACATGAAAAAATTGTAAAAAGGCGGGATGGTATAGTAGTAATGTAAATATTTTTTTTGTTGTGACTCACACCACGGACCTGCTTTCGAGCAGATTACCATTTGTTATTTTTATTAGTGCGAACCAAATAGATAGATGGCTCTGTGACAGCATAGGATGAATAATTTCTTTTAGCCAGCAAAAGGCGGTTATGAAGTTAGAAATGATATATGTAATGGTTGATTAGCTTGTTGTAAAAGGAAAAATATAGATAATTAAGATATTGGTGTTTAGTACAACTTTCATGGTGATAAATAGAGGATAACATAATCGAGCAGACTTACAGTACTGATTATTACATCTAAATACTAACTACCAAATATTTTTTTCAAATTTTAATTATTATGAGACAAAATTAAATAAAAATTAATAAAATTATATTTCAAGATACAAATTAAGAGATTTAGCATATGTATGATTCAAGAATACAGGAATGCCAAGAGTTTAGATCTCTCTCATCAACCGCGCGTACATTATGTAAATATTTATCTCAGGAGTTCTATTTTCTACTTTGCCTTTGGAATACTTAGGATTGTTTTATACAAGGACTGTCGAATTTACAAGTATAATTAAAAATGCAGAATCATAATGAGAGAATCATTTGTCTTTAAACAAATTAAACGATCCTGTTATAACTTTCCTGTTTCACGACAAGATTTTTGTGACAACAGATGCTAACTTGCAAAATTGTGATAATTGTACTAGCAAAAGGTATTTAAAATCAGCGTGCGATTTCTAGAAGAGAAAACGAAACCGAGATTGCACATAATCAAGCTGATGTTTGTTTATATAGTGTATATGTATGCACGTTTAAATAACGCACTAAATGCCTTTTTCAGAAAAAATTATTAGATTTTTAATTTTTTA